TTTGTAAGATATGTTACTTTTGCCATATAAACCTTTCCATTACTGAACTTGAATATGAATAGATACCAGATTGTCAGTATTCATTACATTTATTTAAGATATGTTATTATTCTGCCCAGTACTGAACTAGTGAAGATGAATATATCACATTTTTTTATATCTTTAAATGCAGTCTTATTCTTGTTGAAAAGAGTGTATTTCATATTCCCGAATTCTAACATTCTAATGAAAATAATAATAAATGGGAATGTGAGTATTGTTGCTTACAATATATGATTTATAATACCTAAATGTGACAGGAAAACTCTGTTCTGTATGGCTCTCAAGTGTTCGTTGTGAGAAAATTATGAGGTTTAATATATGTATCTGATGGAAACAGAATTTTCTTTCTCAAGTTTCCCCACCTTCAGCTTTGTTAAATACAACTATTCCATGTTTGTCACAGTTCACAATGTTCAGTGCCTTTGGTTAGAGAGGTGTTTCATGTGAAAGAAAGGTTATGATTTTCCAGGCACTGGTGAGAAACTTTCTCCAGAAAAATTATTTGCAACCTGATCTCTTGTACTCCAGAGCTGCAGAGGCTCTTATTCCATTGTTTTTTGTTTTTTGAAAGGGGGTGGGGGACCAAGTTTAATAGAAATTCACTCAAATCCAACCCAAAGGATATGGGTGAAGTGATATTGAACTTCCTTATGGAGCTGAGCCCTTCTTGAGAAGCTGTCAATTGTGCAGCCACTCAAGAATTTTCCAGCCTTTTGTAGAACCCGAAGGTTCATTACTGTGTTCACAACAGTCCACCACTGGTCCCTATCCTGAGCCACATCAGTCAAATTCATACCATACCATCCTATTTCACTAGGATACATTTTAATATTGTCCACCCACCTATGCCTTGGTCTTCCCAGTAGTCTTATTTCCTTATGATTTTCCCACCAATATCCTATATGCATTCCTTGCCCCCCCCCCATTCGTGCTACATGCCCTGCCAACCTCATCCTCCTCGACTAGTGATATTGAACACAGTTCAAAAATCAGTAGTTGAGGAGTAAATACTTTTACAACCAGATCTGTTGTACTGCAGAGTCTCTTTCCTTCTGGCTTTCCCACCAATATCCTATATGCATTCCTCGCTTCCCCCATTCGTGCTACATGCCCTGCCAACCTCATCGTCCTCGACTAGTGATATTGAACACTGTTAAAAAATCACTAGTCGAGGACANCGGAGGGGGCAGAGGGGAGCACTCAAAATAGTTGGTAAAGTAGCATACCTTCTTACCGATTGTGCTCTCGGCCCAGGTCATTTTAAACTTAGTTCGTGTAAAATGAACATAAATGGCAGCAGCATTGCACCGAGGTGTCATGGCCGCCATGTTGCCAACCAATAACACGGGAGTTTCACGGGGTTGTTCTGGGGTCAACGTGACCCCCTAACCAATGGATACCAAGGATATTTTCCCCAGGGGCAAAGCGACCAATGCGTGGAATGTGAACACTGACCTGCAATTGGTACCGTAAATACTTAAAGGTTTTTCTGCGGTTTAAATGTAATTTCAGTTCGAAAGCGACTTTATTATTACGCTCTGCTTGAGTAGAACTACGCCATTACGTTAGCATTATGTAATATTTGTTTTCATGTGTACATTTATAGTTTAGTGACTTTAATACGAGATGGCATTATTTGCTCCTGCATTCAAGTTCAACTTCGTCAAGAAGTTAATTAAATGTGACATTCATTGCTGAATTGTCTGTTTACAACACACGCGATTTCACGCAATCTTTAAAGTTCAGCAGTATATATAATAGTGTTTTCATCGAAGATGAGGATACGTATTTTTATAAGTACTCTCACTGAATAAGATGTCTTTCACAATTTCATATCGCATTACATAACCGAAGTGGTTAATTTGGGTTAAAGTCCACATACTTAATCATTACATTCAGGACTAGTATGTCTTTGCATAAAGTTTTTGTATATGGCACTCTAAAAAGGGGAGAACCAAATCATCATTGGATAACAGACACAAGCAAAGGATTGTCAAGGTTTATTGGAGTTGGAAAAACAATAAAAAAATATCCTTTGGTCATTGGTACAAAATATAATATACCATTCGTCTTAGATTCCCCAGGACAAGGACATGTAAGATAATTTCATTTTAAGTGGATATCCTGCATTTATTATTTTCAGCTTTAATAACTAGAGACAGTTATTTCCAGAATGTTGTTGGGGAAGTGTATGAAGTCGATGAATCCATGCTGCACCATCTGGATATTTTAGAGGAGCACCCAACATTCTATACAAGAGAAACTGAAGAAATTGAATTGTACGCTGAAAATATAAGATCAGAGTGCTGGATATATTTACTGAAGAAATTTAAGCCAGAAATGTTAGAGCAGCAGCATTTTGCAGATTACAGCTCAAGTGGTGATCATGGACTAGTGTATGCGGAAAGGTATCAACGTGAGCCATCCTATAACTACAAACAAGATGTCATGCCTTAAGCATCTGCCTCTGGTTTGTGTTTCTGTACTTCTGCAAGATTTATGGAAGTGACGGTTTGATTGATTGGTTTGGGTTAGGGGTTGAGACAAGTAACGTCTAAGTGAAAGTTTCTAATTTGATTTGTCTCATTCTGGTCCGTCACACTAACAGTCACAAAATGTGTGTCGCACTGGACTGTAAGTTATCTATTTTGTGAAAGTTTCTAAGTTCGCTTGCTCTCACTCGAGAATAATTTCTTACACAAAATGGGACCTTACATTATAGTAGATTGAACATGATATAGCACTGTAAACTAAGGTTTATGGTCTTTAAGACTCTGTTTTTTCATGCTACATAGAAGTAGAAAAACTTGTTAAGAAATGTTTTGTGTTTTCTGTACTGAGACAGTGGGTCATTGGCACAAAATACATTCCAGAACATGTGAAGTGACTGTTTCCTGTCACACTTCATTAAGTATAAAAAATATTTGAAGTCAGATCTATAGATCTTCACAAGATCAGTGTTTTATGTTATGTTCCAGCTTATTAAATTCACCCTCCACCCCCAAACCGAATTTCATGGAAACTCATTAAGTGGTTTCTGGAGGTTGAAAATCTGCACCAATGGACGTGACATTATGGTTTCACTTTATATAAAGAATGCATAGACACAAGTATATTGGGTTCAGATTGTGGCACAGCATAGTATAGTAACAAATACTGACATTTCAGGGGAATATGCTACCTCCATCATCAGGGTTGAAGTGTGTAGAGTGAAGAATTGGTTCAGTTATATAGGAAGGTTGCAAAAAAAAAAAAGGTGGTCACCATAATCCCATGGATCTAAGTACTAATTAGGGGCCACGCCATAGTTCAAGTGGTTAGTCGCTGGCTTCTCACCGTGGCGGCCCGGGTTCAATCCTGGTCTCGTCAAGTGGGATTTGTGGTGGACAAATTGGTGCTGGGCAGGTTTTCTCCGAGTAATTCAGTTCCCCTGCCAATCTATAAAAATGGTAATATAGAATATGAAAGTTAATTACTTTTTCCTTTTTTGCAGTGACAATGAAGCCACATTGGCAGATCTATGATGTAGTGTACCGAGACTTTGTCCAGGAACTGTACTGCCCCTTGTCAAGCAGGTGTTATGTCCTGAGAACACAATTTAGACAATAACATTTGTACCAAGCTTCAAATGAAAGGATCATGGAAAGATACCTGCCAAAATAAGTAACAGCTTAAAATGGACCAGCAAAATCTGTTCTTGCCAACTGCATTTGGAATACTGTGTTAATATATTAACATGTTCATACCCATGAAATTAACAGCTGTCTTAAGGTTCCAAGGCATAATTTTCTATGTGTACATTCACAAAACAAAAAGTAGCTGTGAATTAACATTTTCAAGTGGGAAGTTCCAAAATATATAATATAAAGAGCTTTAGAATTAGCCTTTTAGAAGCATTTGGTTACTAAATTTATCCAGGATTTTCATCATCAGTAATCTGTCATACGACAGGTCTTGAAATGAAACTTTAATAAAACTAAAGGTGATTATTTCTGGATGTGCTAAGTATCTGGGATGTGAGGTCATGTCTTATAATAGAAGTTTATAGACGTTTTGGAACAACGTACTCTTCTATCTTCAGAACTGAAGCCAAGCAAGCATAGTACTGTGTGAGCAAATTCTTCATTCTGAACTCCCTACACTGCTTGGTTTATTCCTTGACCCTGGAAATATGGACAGTACTTTCCTCTGAAACAGTGGTGAACTATCACATCCCAAAAGAGAGTACTCTTCAGAGTCACTGCTGCAAGAATCTCAGATCCTACCAGACTACAAAACTTCAGTTCCTACCCCCCCNGTTGAGATGAATGCGCCATAAGAGGAATTATCTGTTATGTTTCAGGCTGGTGAAAATATTGGCAATGAAGCATCATACTTGTTTTCTGATATTCTCTTAATGCTGTTAAAGGCACCAGCCAAACTAGGGAACAATATATTGTTACAGGTGCAAGTTCAGTGGTTGCAATGGCTACTTTGCAGTCCACTTGCATCTTGCACATAACTCTGTATGATCTCTTTAGTGCAGGACCATCAAGGGCTAAAGGCAAAACTTTACATTGAGGATTAACCTGTGATAGGAGTTTGTTAATATGCATAATACTGTTATGAGGTGATCTTAAATTTTAGTTTTGAGAAGCAAGTATCAAGATTGAATGTTAAACTTTTAAACTGTGGACCATTAAGTGTGGTTCCACTGTGTAACATTTTACTGAATAAAGCAAGGAAAACAAAGGATTGTTTCTTGTTTACTTATATATTTATTGATGTGGTTCTAACTGGACAGGCTACTTAGCATCAGATGAAATGAACAGCTCACTGTGATGACTTGTACCGTCCTGTAATGTGACTGGAAACCACAAAATAACTTCTGGGATAACTTGTCCCAGTTCATACAGGAAAACCTAACCCATTATGCAATAATTTTCTTGTGGTTTTTGACATTCACAGTACCTGTGACTACATAGTCTTGAATAGTACTCGCAAGTTATTAGTGAACAGTGAATTAGAAAAAGATTTGGAAGGAAAGTGTCATTGCCTAAGACGCTATTCTAGAATCTGCATGGAGGAACCGAGGAAAACCATGAAAAACCCAGTTAAGATATTTTTTGTACAGTATACTTCAGCCTGGGAATAAACATCAAGTGATCAATCAATGGAACAAGATACATAAATATAACATTAGTCAAGACAGTTGTTCGACCTGTGATTGAAACTGATCACCTATTGAACACGAGTCAGAAATGATGATACAGTGTGATGGAGCTACATCTGTTGTCTGCCATTACTTTGGCTTGGAAAGAGTCCACAGCAATAATTACTGCCTCTGCTGAACAGCTACATAACATATACCTAAACTGTTCTAAAATCTCATTGTACAGAATGTGATGTACTAATGAGACAATGGGTCACAGCCTGGCTCTGGGTACCTTCTCTGTCACTACCAAGTGGGCTGACTATCCTCATTCAGCTGCTTCATCACTGACTTTCAAGCAACGTCTTCCACATCCATCGCTAGTTATTCAGCCATCCTATCACATAGAGCTCCTATACAGATTAAATGACCAAAAAGAATGTTATGACAGTGCATCCCTAATTACTGCCTGAAAACTCCCATCTCGTAACCTACCAAGCACCAGGCCACAGACAAAGCCCAAACACCAAGGATCTGGGTGAAGGCAAGACTAAACACTACCTTAGGTGACAAATTTCCTATAAAAGGAGACCATCATAAGTATAGGAGAGCAAAGAAATGACAAAGAATATAATATCTTTACCAATCCATGTTTTAAGATAGCTGAATACTCAAGAAATAAATGAAGTGCACTACTACTACTTGCCTGCAATTACTTTTGGTTTGAGTAAGACAGAACTACAACTGCTCAGACTGTAGTCTTCTGGGCTGTGACATCGTGTCAATCAGTGATTCTCAACCTTTGTGAGACCATGGCCCTGTAAATTCTTTTTTTATAAGGTGAGGGCCCAACAGTTGAGGAACACTTGTGTAGATGATTTGAAGGACCAAAATGAATGTGGCCAGGTAATACAAATATGTTGCATGGAAAATAGTCACTCTAATCTACGAGAAGATGTATGACAACATCTATTTATTGATTCTGGTTAATTTTCTGATGTATAAGTCATTTTGCAACAACTGCCATGAAAGCCCAACATACCTTTCTGGCCCTGCTGATGGCAATGATGTAAAACTGTACATGACTGCACACCATTTCATGTGGGCCTTACATTCAAAGCACAAACATATAAAACCTTTGTGATCTGATTTATTTCCATTATTTTAACACATATCCTTCCCACTCAAAACAGCAGTTGTGAAGTTACTTGGTTCCTCCAACTTACCCAGTTCATAATATTATACAAAAACCTTACATACAACAGAACATACATTCATCCATCACATGCACTGCTCACGAAATGGCTGAAAAAACATAACACGGGGGAAAAAAAAAGATTTACAAAAACAAGTATTCAGTAATTCCACATTGCCGAACAGGTTTGGCAGGTGCATCTTGGCAGTGGAATAAGCACTCACTATGAAGGGTCTGTGTTATAATACTGTGTAGTTTGGAAGAGCCCAACATTTCAGAGGAACATATCACCTCCATCTTGAAGGTTTAAAGGAGATGACAAGCTTCTCCTGTTTTCTTGGCCTATTCTTCGACCCCAAAGAGGGAGACAGTATGTTCCCTCAAATGTCCAATTCTTTCCAAACTACATGGTGTTAAAAGAGTGTACCCTTCATAGTCACTGCCAAAAGGACCTCCAATACAACAAACATTCAGTACATCACAGCTACTTGTTTAGACCAGTATGTGGAAACAGCACGTTATAAAAGGAGTTCAATTTCACATGATAAATTGCATGAATCAAGGACATTAACTTATGGGATGTAACGCCACACAGGCTGGTAGAAAGCTGATGTTTCAGATGAATATCCTGCATCCATCTTCGGGGTTAAAGAGTAAGGCTAGCAAGAAACCAGTAGGAAGCACGTGGCAGCCTGAAGGTGAAGGCAGTATATTCCTCTAGAATGTAGACTTCTACCAGACTGTGTGTTGTTACACTCCATAAGTCTCCACTGTGAGATCCTCAAATCCAGTATATCAATCGTTGGCTTAACATTTCATTCTGCCAACTTTCCACTCCTGTTGAATCCACTGGCAATGTAACGCATTCTGGTAGTGATAATGTTGTGGAACAAATGACAAAATGTACATATTTCTATTGCACCTTTACAATCAAATTCCTACCTTGGTCTAAACAGAATTTACTGTGATATAGAGGGTTTTTCACCCCAAGAAGCAGGCACCATCAGATGGGCACGCCAGTGAACAAGGCTGCTGTATAAAAGCTTTACCAGCCCCCCAATAAAGTAACAATTTGCTAACAGCTCACATATACGCACACTCAGTCGGTCCCTGATATCAAATAAATAGGAAGCCAGTCCCAAGAAACGAGTACTTAGTTTTATTTTACACACTGATTCTAGTTAACACTTGATGCTGGAATTTTGGACCAAGATTATCTCCATTCCAAAATCCACTATATAAGGGCATGCTTTTTCATGTGTACCATCCTTAACACTCCTCACTGTTATGGCCCGGGACAGGTTCAAGACCATTCTGAAGTTCCCTTGAAGCAGGAGCAACAACTATGAAACAGAACACCAAAGAAAGCGACGGGATGTGACTAGATACTCGTTTCCAGGCTCACATTTCCCTACTAATGCACTTCGCTCAGCTCTGGTCTGAGCTCAGGGCTCCATATTTATTGCCCAGGTTCAGCTTGGGGCCTGCACCACTTGCAGACATTTTCGTGGCCATGTCAGAATATCGACTTGAATGAGACTTGCTGTTACGTACTTCTTCAAAACTACCTTCATCACGCTTCCTGCAAGTAAGAAATTTGAAGCTGATAACTTGTCTCACTTATGCTCCACAGTACAGCAAATTATTGCAGGCTATAACCTAAATAATTTATTTTGGAATCATATTTTCAAAGATGTTCCATGCAGTTTCTTCTAAAATGTCATATGAAACTGCAATCTTTCCTTAATTTTTCATTCCTTTGACTAAGAAGGATACTGATTTTATTGTCAAAGTCACTTTAAGCTTAAATTAGCAGTCTTAACCCAGAAAAAATTCACTTGCCTCCTTCCCCAGGCTCCAGCGGGCTCTATACTCTTGGCTGCCGATAAGCTTGGAAAGTACTCCTCGCTGTTGATATCCGGTGCTGTTTTAGTCTTTGATCGCGGACCTGAAACAAGATGGCATCTCATAATATCCTCAGGATGCAGCAGCCGACACACAGTGACACACAAATCCTTTTACCTCATATCCATTTACAAGTGCTTTGTCTGGACAGCCATACCTAACTAAGGTCAGCTAGTAATGTCACGGCAAGATAAAATACTTGTCTTGTAGCATGCTCTTTGGGCAAGTAGTTCTATTCTCCAATAGATGGTGTATGAAGCAAGCTATCTTCTGCGATTCGCTGCATGCACATACACTATTTATTTTTATACCATGAAATACTGGTGGGGCACGCAGTACTGTAGTGGTTGAGGGCCTATGTTACAAGCTGGAAGGTCACGGGTTCAAGTCCCGATGAAGTCACTGAATTTTTTTTTTCAGTTGACCTAATCCTTCCAGCTGCAGTAGGCCCTGGGGTTACTCAGCCTCTAACAGAAACGAGTACCAGGAATTAAATAAATAATTTTCCTGAGGAGTAAAGCACAGCCAGTGCGTAAGGCTGACAACCTTACCGCCATTTTTGAGCCGATTGTCTAGATAGTGTGGGACCCTCAACATCTCACAACCCTATGGGCCTTCACGCCCTGTTACAGGGATAGCTTTACTTTACTTTTTTTTTACCATGAAATAGTGAAAACCACCAGTGAACTACAAAATATGGCAACACTTGGACGTAAGCCAGCTGCAGGGTTGTTGGCAGTGTGTTAGGCAAAGCACTTACTAGCATGTGAGGGTTCCTTTGGCTGATTACGTAGATGTGGCGGCACATACGAGCTGCTGCTGCTGCTGCTGCTGCCGCTTGTGGGTGGCTCTGGCCGCTTCTCCACAACTGCAACACAAAGAACAGATTATGTGATTATGAAGACAGATGCCAAATCTAATTTATGCTGTAATATAATTTATTACTACATTATTACAATGAACTATTATTAAGTTCGTGGAGGAGTCAAAGATACTTCCTGCATTTTATTGGCCTCAGAAGTTAATCACAAAGTTTACAACAGCCTACAACTGAACCCTACACTGAGCCACTTGAATCCAGTCCATATCCTCACAAGATTCAGTGTTAATATTATCTTCCTAAATAGACCCTCCCCTTGAGGTTCAATTCTGTAGGCATCTCTCATCCCTCCCATGCGTGCCACATGCCCTGCTTACCTCATCTTTCATTTGACTGCCATGATAATATTTGGTGAAGAGCACAACTTAAAAAGCTCCTCAATGTGCAATTTCTACCAGCTTCCTGTCACATCCTCTCTCTTAGCTCTAAATGTTTTCCTTGATACCGTGTTTCCACGATCTAGATTCTTGCCTTATGGTGAGACAAAGTTTCACACAAATATAAAACAACAAGCAAAATTATAACTTTGTATATTTTATTCTTTGCAGTGTTAGATAGGTTCAGGAGGAAATTAAGAGGAGATTGAACTCAGGTAATGATTGCTACCATTCAGTCCAGAACCTTCTGTCTTCTCGTCTGTTGTCCAGAAACATAAAAATTAGAGTATACAAAACTATAATTTTGCCTGTGGTTCTGTATGGGCGTGAAACTTGGTCTCTGACATTAATGGAGGAACATAGACTGAGGATGTTTGAGAACAGGGTGTTGAGGAGAATATTTGGACCAAAGAGAGATGAAGTGACAGGAGGTTGGAGAAAACTGCACAATGAGGAGCTTCATAACTTGTACTCTTCTCCAAGTATAATTAAAAAGATCAAGTCAACGAGAATGAGGTGGGCAGGTCATGTAGCACGAATGGGGGAGATGAGGAAGTATGCAGAGATAGTGTAAGACAATAAGGAGAATCATAAAGTGAATTCTCATTTTCACGCAAAAGTAAAGAAGAAAAACTCCAACCTTCAGGTGATATGCTATTAAACACAAGTACAATATTAGCCTCTTAATAATATATGCAAATATTTATCAAAATAAAACCAACCAACAGCATTATGATCATGCACTCATTTTATGCATCTTTTGCAACCAACTAACACAAACAAGTCCTGATGTCTGGATTAGTTTAGAGATTGAATACTAACAGAACAAACACACAAATAATTTTATGACCTTACTCTGTCCATAGCAAACAATCAGATGACAAAACAACAAGAAGTTTGGCGATTACAGTTTGCTACCAACTTCTCAGGATCTCAGCATGCCATGAAGACGTATGGAGGAGTGGAAGTACAGCTCCATTATTCTGAAGGTGAGTGGTCAGCTTCATAGCCCTGCTCCTTTACACCTATGGAAAGATCCCCCTAGTGTCCACTGTTTAGGAGGCTAGGAAGGCCCAAAAGCCAAACTGGATACTATCTAGCATTAACTGACAGTGGAGTCATGCATGACAGAAGTTCCACAATTTTTAATGGCTTTTTATTGACCTTTAAAACATTATAATTTACATTACCCTGTGGTTCTGGGGTTTCAGGATTCACCATCTTCCAAGGTCCCGACTGCACTTTACGTTTTGGCACCATTTCACCTGCTTCATTTTCCTCCATTTCTGGCTCCTCCTCCTCTTCCCCCTCTCCAGATATTCCCTCTCCTTCAATCTGCAGGTTTCCAATCTTAAGACCCGTGTAATCTTTCTTCTCCTCTTCAAACTCCTTCCACTCGTCATCTTCCTGTACAGCCAAGAAACAAACACATAGCTTCAGAAATTGAACCACTGCATGGCCAACCCTGCACACGTATCTCCCTGTTCTGTCTTTCTTCAGCAGCGGAAAACTTAAGAGGAAAAAAAGTTCAGTCTCAACAGGGTCCAAGTTATTATTGGTATATGCAGTCCCATCTCTTACAAACAGTTACATCAGGAGAGAGTTTAAGTGAAATTCTGTATTTCAATTCACTACAACCCATAGGCACCATTCTATACTTGGGAGTAAGATTCCAAATGACCAGAAAATGGCAACAAAAGGTAGGAATCACCACTTCTGTTGGCTGAAATGGAACATGTAAAAAGTGGAAACATTAAATTATGTTATAACCACTGGAGACTATATTATACACCAATAATAACTTTTTTCTTTTTATTGCTAGTGGGGTGGGACTAAGTCCCTTGTACTGCGGCCACTTCTGGCCTATTGTACCAGCCCCAGATGATAGGTGAGGGTGATTGTGGAGCAACTGGTGAAATAAAGATTGGCAGGGGAAGCCGAAGTATTCGGAAAAAACTGCCCCAGCACAACTTTGTCCACCACAAATCCCACTTGACCAGACCCGGGATCGAACCCAGGCCGCCACGGTGGGAAGCCAGCGACTAACCGCTCGAGCTATGGGGCGGCCATAATAACTGTTAAGAATAGCCAAACCTTATATAAGATGCAAATAAGTACACGGTATAATGTAAACTGACTGGACAGCACTGTGTTCAACAGTTTCTGTTTTCATTTGCACATATTTGTTTTTGTTCTAAAGGGATTTTTGGATGCATCAGCTCATGTTCGGATGATAAGCTGAGGATACGCGCTTCATTATAAAAATTTGTAAAAGCAAATTTCATAATTTCCTGGTAAAGCATGGACTATCTGTACTGTATGACAGAATGTACATAGTTAACATATATTTTACTGCCTTGCAATTAACTCATGTCATTCTCCTTTTCAAACACAGGACAACACCTGATGAACATCAAAGCTGAGCTTTAGAGCTGTTCTGCTGTTCTTCATGACGTTCCATAATCATGAGTGTTTCTGACCAACTTGAAGAAGTGTGCTAATCTGTGATGCAGTTCACTTGAAAGATACATTTTGTCTAGTTCATTTTTAATTATTATAAAACTTATACACACTGGGAAGTAAAACCCAAAATGTGTATATATCTGAGGGAAAATACTCAGAAATTCCAAGCAAGTTTTTTCTTTCCACTGAAGAACTTCCTTTGTTCAAAGAAACCAAGCAGTTAACATGCACAATAAAACTGTGTCCAATCTCAGAAGAAAAACAGGAAAACGAAAAAATGTCAGCTCCGGAAAAAAAATGAAAACTAATTTGCTGATAAGTTTTATTTTTAAAGAGATGTCAGAGAATTCTATATCTCCAACATATTCCAATATTAAGAAACCTTTAATCTAATGTTCAGAAACATACTAAGTTGAGTGGTTCAAAATAATCACTAAGAAAGATTCTGAGAAATGTTGGGCTCAAACGTCACTGTCCCAACAAAATTTATTTACGGAGAGGTCTGGCATCATAGCCAAAGCATGGCACCCCACATTGATCATAATTTTCTGCCTCAACTGGTACTTCGAACGTCGGCATCTAGTAAAGGTTGGTTAAATATTATGTACAATGTGTTAAACTCATTATACAACAAATATATACTGTGCTCACGATTTCTCCGGCACAAACTAACTCACATATGCGTACAATATGGCCGCCAACTAAAACAGGCATAGTATGTGTAATAACAAATAATTTCCAGTAAAGCGAAATACTCACTTCAACCTGATTTCCTTGTTCTTCCTCTCCTTGTCCAGAAGTCTGTGATGGTAGAATGACTTTATCCTTCTTGGTTTTTTCTATTTTTTTACCCGTTTCTTCCAGCTTCTTTGCTATTTCATCCGCAGTCGTGAACTTCTTTCCCTTCGCTTTCTTGCGATCTTTCTTAGCAAAGAAATCATCTAAATCTGCCATCTTGAATGCCTGGGTATAGGCTGCAAAACTAAATGCGACTACGCAAATATAAAACACAAACGTATTGATATATTTAATCCTTTCTCACGAACAAACCTCCACATGTGTACCACTTTTATCATACGGAAATCATTCTCAAATGACTGAGTCAAAAGATATTCTAGTCAAATCGTCCATGCAACGAATTCGAATGACATCTCTCAAATCGACTATTTTAACTTAATATATTATAGTGGAATTAAATTTACTAGCATTAAGAATAAGTACGACTACATGAAACTAATTGCTTTATTATTAATATCCGGTACGGTGCTATGCATATAGATAGATATGTAACGACTTGCTGTACTGTCGGGTTGCACTCATTCGCCACACCAAATGAATGTAGGTATAAGAGATCAGCTTTGTACGGCAGCCTTCTTCATATCCTGACATGTTCCGAAGCTACACCGGAAATGTAATAAATTACTGGGTATTGAAAGCACGTCCAAGGGAAAAAATGATCTGTAAATGATATTCTTTAGTGGATGTTGGGCAGCATGCTTTTGCGACATCTACACGCAATGCTCTTGAACCACAAAACTCAAATGATGATATAAGTTGCATGATTTGAGGTCCTCACTGGTGGTCACAGCCGTCACAGCGGTGGCTGTGAAAGGTACCGTGGCAGGAGTTAAAATGCCATGTGGTCTCTTGAAAATCAATTGACGTTTCGAAAGAGGTCGTGTTATATATTGTAAGCGCTTGAGGTTGCATGACCTGTAATTGACTTTACTACCATCAATTAGCGAAATATACCTGACTGCAATTCATCAATTTTTAGACACTCATATAGAATAAGAAAATACTCCAAGTTCAACAAGATAATTTTAAATCCTTCTTGAAGTCTCTAAATAAATTTAATTATTACTGCATTAAATTTAATAATCATAATAAACGTCCCTTCCCTCATTCATGAACATTTTAATAGAACTCAACTGTGCCACCTTGAATACCTATAAGACTTTGAACTTGTTCTGGATATGGTGGAGAAGTGACAGTTAAAGACCTCAGGTCAGAACAGAACTACAACAGTCCTGCCTGCAACTTATCACTTTACTCACTGTAGAATCAACAAGAGATTTATTCTTCCATCTGCATTTGGACTGCCTACAAATTCTGATGTCATACCAGCTCTAAAAGTAATCTGAAAATATGCATGTACACACTTGGCCTTGATAAACATGAAGTCTTTCTCACAATTAGTTCTGGAGCCAGGTTAGGTCAATTTTTATAGGAAATGACAAAGGGCTGGATGGCTAGGGTTTGATTCCCAGCAGGAGCAAGTTTTTTCACTCCAGTGTCCAGACTGGCTCTGAGGTTCAACCAGCGTCCTACACAATAGGTTAGGTGGGGGCTTTCACTGGCACTATAATGGCTGGGAAGGGGAAGGTGTCCACTCACCTCTATCTAGTGCAAAGGTCAATATTGGCCCTATTCCTCCACTCCCAAATACATCTTCATGGCATGATGCTTAATTAATTAAGCACACAGACAACTTACCTTTTAACGTAGTAATTCTTGTCTGTTTCTACAAGATCGTCTGGGGGCCCGCCTTTTGCGAATATTACCAATTACTGACTACTAGGATGTGAAGCCTTGTAGTCTGGTAGATACTTACCAATGTTTCTGAGGAACCTGCTGCCTCCATCTTCATGGTAGATGGAGGCAAACGGTTCCTCTGAAACACTGACAACGAACCACCAGGCATCACATCCCAGAGGACAGTTATCAATAGTCACCGATGAAAAAATCTCAGATTACAAGTGTCAAGTAGTATTCATCACTGATTGTCAGTAGAAAGCAATAATAAATGCACCAAACAGTCCAAAGACTACAAAATCCCTAGTCTCACATCAGGAACATAGGATTTTTGGACATTAAATTATTTCCTGTGATGTCCCAAGGCATGTTATGCAGAAATACTATAATTACAGGGCACTGGCCAGCTTAGATTAGGCCTTGCAATACCACTGGACAAGCACACGGACTAACAGGACCATTCAAAATCCATGTATTCAATAACCTGATGCAAATCAAAGACTTAAAAAGACGGCCGAAGTAGCCAATCAAATCATTCTTGTAAAGGTACCTCCATTAAAGGCTACAACAGATGATTAATGATGATACACCATCACACATAATTTCTGAGATTCATGGGCTCAACAATTTAATGTAACCCGAAGTTATGTTGAAAGAGCAGGAACTGTATTCAGCTTTAAATAAATGAGAGGAAAATTTAACGTTTGAAATAAGACCCACCAGATTAAGTTCTGTCATGCTTCATACTTTCACATGATCTCAATGCCGATGTTTTTGAAAACACAGAAAAAATACGTTGCATTTATGTTTTTTCACAACAGTGACTTCTGGATGTAACACCGCATAGTTCGGTTGATGTTCTCGGACATTTTGAAGGAACTTACTGCTTCCATCTTCTGAATCTAAAATATATTAAGCAATGAAGAGACTTCCGTTTAATATAAACAAGAAAACACCTTTAGAATACACTGAAATGTGCACAACGATAACTTTACTATCTAGCAGCTTAAGAGCCAGACACATAGGAGCACTGACCACTGACAGGAGGATGATAGAGATACACCTGGACCAACTGACAACTTATGAGGGAACCACTCGGGGTGAGCAGCTTTAAGAAGGGAGAAGTCAGTGGAGTTGAGTGAAGTGGCACGAGTTGGTTGGTGAGTGAGTGAGTTACATGACTGCTACAGTTCAGTCCTTGTGAGCTGTTGCTGTTAGAAGCTGGCAGCTGAGGAATGGGGATAGTTCAGGAACCCAGAATAAGGAGAATGTCCACTGTTGGAAGCCATTACCAGGCAACAACTGGTGAAGACACAGCAGAGTGAAAAGACTTAGTGTGTGCTGTAGTGAATTTTAGAGTGTATGAAATAGAGACAGCGCTATAGTTACTAGTAGTTACATTTTGTAAGAGTTCAATAAATCCAATTACCAATTCAAACCACATCTGCAGTCACTCATACATGCGACAATATTTATATAGAAGAGTACAGACTCATGTGTTGTAAGGTCATGTAGGGTTTTTTTTTTTT